GCAGTCACACGTACCACGTGATCGGATTTACCTCAAGTTCTCAATTTAGACGCGTCGACGGTCGCTGGATTTCCCATCTTTCCTCTCACCATCACGGCCTTCCTCGCCTGCCATGTCTGTGATGCTCAACAAACCTTCGACGAGCTCTATCACCCTTCCAGCTAGGACTCCCTGGGGCGCATCGTCAAAGAAGGCCCGGGACCCAGATGGCAGAGACAGGGCGTTGCGTGACAGAACGTACGGCCGTCCTGACCTGTACGTGTGATATCTGCTGGTGAGCACCACATTACATTCTTTCAAATCTATGACTTATGTCCCAATTGCAAGGACTATACTATGGCTGTCCACTTCACTGAACCTCCCTTAGGCGCGTCTGCTCTGGATGCCTAAGGCAGCGAGTAGCACGTAAGAAGAATGCACCCGATGCGAAATTGTACACGTGTAAAGAAGGATGTTATCCTCAAATGGAGCGGTATTGGCAGGTTGTGGATGTGCCAATAACGGAGGCGCGTGTTCTGTTCTCTGTGGGGTCGGTGAGTCGCGTTTTCTTCTACTCCTGCTAAAATCGATGTCATCTATTTTCAAGGCGGACAATATCAACTGCATAAGTCCGTATATTCCCCCACCCAATGCTGACCCAGGCAACACGTCGTGTACCCGTTTCGGACGAAACTTCTCTTACATTGGGTGTACGGGATACATGCGACTGCCGGGGTAGCTGCCATCGTGGCTGATCTCCCCGGATTTTGACTTCACTGGTATAAATATATAGTTACTCATGGAATGTATTTCATTTCAATATCAGTCCACTGACATACAATACGGTATGCTATATTGTGTCAAAAAATCAACACTCCAAGAATTTAAGCTCTGGTCAGGATTCGAACCTGTAAAAGCGCGGAAGTTTGATACCGTTATACTACTCGAGTTACTATGAACTTGATTACCTTAGTACAGACCTCACAATGAAATCGAATCCCTAGCCGATCCCTTTCTCCCGCTGTTGTTAGATTAATAGTTACTATGTAGGGCCTGGGACTTCGGTATTGATATCGACAGATTCTGCATTATCGTATATCTCTTACTACTACACGTATTCATCAGAACAGTCACTCATGAGACGGTCCAAGTAGAACGATTCCAAGGCTTCAGCTTCAGGGCTCAACCCACACAAAAAAGATCACGAAAGGCTCAAGGAATTTCGGATCAGGACTTGAACCCGGAACCAACAAGCGATATTCCTGCTACACTAATCAGATTACCCTTTTGATCTGAACAGAAGGTACGTCCCAGACGTACGCGTATTTCTGTGGATTCCAATCTCTTCCTACCTCTAAATTTAAAACTGTGAATGCATTCTCCATGCTCGGCTTTCCTCATCGTATCGCTGATCAGAAATACCTTAGCTTGCGAGGCAACGTACCCATGTAACTAGGATAGAATTATATTAGTGTAAGTGGGTCTAGTAGCACAAATCGAGAGAAGAGCACGAAGCTCTTGCTCGCTGTGAAGAAAAGACTACATCATCTAAGTAAATAAATACCAGTATAAGTAGTGGATAAAGGGAGCGTGAATTATTTCCAGTGGATAGGCATAAAATAAAAAAGGCTGCTTAGATGTCTAAAATGGATCGGGGTCTCCTGGCATGGTCCACCTTTATACGGCCCGTCCCCCTGGCCTTCCCGAGGCTGCACTGGTGTTGGTTTGCCCTCCGCCATTGCTTCCACCGTTAGGCTGCTTAATCGGTCCATTTCCATTTCCTGTAGAGCCTCCGCTCGTGTTAGTCCCCTTTCCACGAGGGATGAATCTGTGATGCGCCGTAGGATAGTCATCTCGCTTTTCTCGCAACATAGAGCTCACTCACCCTTGTCCAGAGTTGGACGGACTACTGGGCATTCAGTCAGAGAGAAGCATAGATTAATAGAGTGCGAACCTAGATAGTCCTCTGTGAATGCCATCGTGAGCAGCGGTGCACACAGAAAATATTCGAACAAATACGCACTGAACGCCTGGGAGGACACGGAAATGTTTGAAAATGTTGAATTGCATGTTGTGAGCGAGGCTAAGGTGCGTTTGGTTACTAAGGAGGAAGTAGTGTAGTGAGGAAATACGCACCTCACACTCCGCCTTTTATACCATAGCATATATTGATGCATATTCCATCCTTAGCATGCTACAAGTCGGCTGTCCACGCACAGACGTTTCACTACACGCCATGAGCACGTCAACATTCCCAGGAATCAAAGAGCAGCGCCTTGTACATCGCTAGCACGTGTAGCATGTATCGTCATTGATGGCACAGAATTCAAAAGGTAAGCTGCCAATCCACCGTTTCGCGTGTCATGACCCTAGGAAGGAGCGAGTTATCTGCACCAGAGTACGGAGGTAGCCAGTACACAGCATTCCCGGAAGTCAAAGAGCAAATCGCTAGCACGTGTAGCATGTATCGTCGTTGATGGAAAAGGTAAGCTGCCGATCCACCATTTCGCGTATCATGTCCCTAGGAAGGAGCCGGTTATATGCACCCAGAGTATGGAGGTACCCGGTACAGGGGAAAACTTGACACAGGGATCCTGGTATGCGATGATGAACGAGGGGGATCACTGGAATGCTTTACCAATGTGACATCGCAACATTATTTTTGGACCATGTCTATTTCCTCGGAGGCGTCAGCTAGTTGGCTGGATGAAGCGTATTCCTCAGGAGTGAGGACACAGTAGAAGAGTCGGGTAGAGAAATTACAGGGATCGACGGTATGAACCCTTATCGGCGTGTGCCTGTTGCAAAGATAGACGTTTTAGTCTCCGTACATGGTATTCAGTCAGTTCGCCGTACTGAGTGCCTGGCGGGAAAGACGCGTCTTTAGCTCAATTCTGCAGCGCTCCGAGGCTCGTAGCATTCGTCCTTTCAGCAGGAACGGTTGAGAATGAAGGGGCCTTGATTGCCTCTTGGCGTGTCATCTTAACGGAGAACCACGCGGCATAAACATCAACAAAACATCGCGCATTGATTGTATGGGCGAAACCCCTACTCGTACAAGAAATGGTTCTGGGCTGGCCGCCGTACATTTTTTGAACCTTTTAGGCTCATTAGAATTGTACGTCCACACATCCAAAACATAAACATGATACTAACCATCGTTGAGGATACCTGGTAGTGGGAAAACCGGATATCATCGCCCCGGCGTCCGCAAAAATTTAAATTTACTTCAACTTGTTTGGTCATCCTCGAGGGTGAAAAGACTCGACTGGCAAAAAGAGGTCTGAATGATGGGGTAAACTAGTAAGGCGGGCAAGCCATTTTTTGACTACAACCAGCATCAGGATAAGCATGGCAGAGTCACTCACAGTCAAAATTTTGAGTAGTGCTGACGTGCACTGCAGCGTTATGAGAAAGACTAACAATATGCACCTTGGCATAAGAACCTACCAGTCCACCGTAGCTAAACTGCGAATTATCCCATCCCTTATCTCTGGTCGCCAAGAACAGGGCGAAAGTCTGCTCCTTACATCAGAATAGAGGGAAGCGAGGCTATGACTTGTTCGCTAATTTACATCTCTCGATGATTTCTGGTTTGCAGTGGCCCACCTGGAAGCTTGCATGAACAACGGTTCATTCTTCTACGGGTAGGCACAATTCTTGAGGCCACTGCCGGCGTATGCGAACGAGCTGTCATGGAAGCAGGAGACGCGTTTGTGGCGTGGGAATCAGACATTCGGACGGTCTTCCATTTTGGGCTCCGTCTTACCCTGTCGACTTGCCGAATGCCGAACTTTTGTCGGCACCCTTCCGTCAACTGTGTACTCTGGCCTTTGACGACATTCGAACGGCAGGCATCGAGCTTCGTACAGTTACCACTCTCATGGTCGGCACTTACTGTGGTTTTATGGTTCCGGTTTGTCTCAACGTTGAACATGTGGTGGCCTATGGTTGGCTATGGCTCCATTCGAAACGTGGTGCAGCTTCTAGGGCAACCTGGTGAGCGTGACTTTACTCTTAGCATATCTTTCCCTTTCTCATAGCTCCTCCATAGTCCTCCTGGTTTTAAAATGATATCTCGCTCTAGAAAATGGCAATGTTATCAAACCATTTCTCGCTCGCCTAGGCCGTTGTGGTTCCGATTGGCTGGAAACGTCCAGTCGGTAGTCCAGCCCTCTCGTTCGACATTCTTCCTCAGGTGTGACGGCTTCAAAACGTGCTGGCAGAAACCGACGAACTTCTGCCTGATCAGATGAATTTGGCAGCTGCTAACAAGGAAGGCTTTATGGGCGGACTCTCTTCAACCTTCCCATTTCTACCACTACATCGTGAAGATCGAGCAGATCGAGGTCACTGTCATTTTACTGAGACTGCAGGTAATGTAGGGCAAGCTTTTCAACCCGTGGCCCGCTCTTTTTGCCTTCCTCAAAATTATCTTTGTTCAGCCCTACGCCGATTCGTCTGCCGAAAGGAGCAAGGGATGCCTACATATGCAATTTCAGCGTCATTATCACCCACATTTTAACCCGTATTACTCACGAGGAACGGGAGAGCATGGAGCAACATAGAAAGGAAGACGGTCCGGTCATCTACGGTATGTGAAGAACGACCCAGATACCGCGATTCATGCTCATGAGGTTGCTATCTCGCAGCACATCCAGTCGAGGCACGAAACACCGCCAAGCCGGACGGCTTCTTCTGTACAAGTCGGCCCCGACGACAATGACACGGGGACGGAATGGAATAAGTCCATAGGAATCTCATGTACCTTCTTTTCTATGACCATTTGACTAATACACGCGAGAAGCCTCTCTGCATACTACCTTCGCCGTGTACGAATCGACGTCCCTTCGTTTTCGCCGTGATATCAGAAAAAAAACTGGTAAACCCCGACAAAGAACTCGAAACTGGCGTTGCTTTCTCGGTCCGGCTAATGATAATGCTGTTGCTCAGAGCTCAGGAGTTTCGGGCAGAAGATGGTTCATTTCTCTCGGGGAGCGTATCGGGGCAAATCTTTAAGATCTCTGGTAGTATATCGGTTAGTACACGCGCCTGTCATGTGAATAGTAGTGATGGGTTCGCGCGAAAGCTGGGTTCGACTCCCAGCCAGAGAGTTTATCTTGTGACTGGTCTCAATTTTACAAACATCATTTTCTTAAAAATTCTTGGATCCATTTCACATTTGTACGAGTCTCCGACCTCCCGGCCTCCGGGTCTATTCAATATTGCCCACTTCCTAGGTCCCTGCCGAAGCTCGTTAGGTCGCTGATAAAAGATGGAATATTAGGGAACCTCACCTCGTCACTTTTCAAAAACTAGCTTGACAATAACCTTCGCCTCTCACGAATCCGAGGGCAGGGAGATACCATAGAAAGGGTGGCTGATGGGTAAGGCAGGATACAGGTATTCCAGCTCGTACCCTCGTCGCAATCCTGGTCACCAAAGGAGACTTTTGGGACAACCACTGCCGGAAACGGAGACGTGCCGCGTGAAGGAATTGAGTGATGAGACGTCCAGGAAATCGCTCTTTGGTACGAGTCTGGCGGTATGAATGAGCGCTGGTTTTATTGCAGTACGTTCGTCTAAAATGACGCACCTTCCACCACCGTCGTCACTCGATGTCCCGGTCGGTATCCCTATAACCCATAGTCAGCGTCAATCGACCTCGTAATTCAACCGCCTTCATCAATTATCGTTAGTAGTTACAAGTGTAGATTATGCACTCACCCCTTGACCGTGTCGCTCGTTTTCGATGCGACATTCACTGAGAAAAGCGCAACGGCGAAGGGCTGACCTTGTATCCACATAGACTCGAATTAAAAATTAGCCCTGCTGTTGGTGATTGAACATCTGATGTTGCTGTCGTAGAATGTAAGTGGTAGTAGCAACTCAGTAATTGATTGGCAATCATCTTGCCGTAAAGTCCTTGGTGATGTATCGGTTAATCATGATATCATATGGTCTCCACTGCGAAGTGGACGTTGGGTTCGACTCCCAACAGGAATATTCGGTAGTGTTATCTCAATTTTTTTTTGTATGTTGTTTGATGTTGTACCGAGATATGCATGAAACGACGGTAAGAATCCGTAACATACCGTTTCTTACTCATACCCGTGTTGTAGAACGTACGTCGTACATGTATTTCTGTATAATCTCTTACTCCTAAATTTGAATTTGATTTGAATACATTCTCCATGTTTGGCTTTCCTCGTCGTATCGCTGATGAGGAATACTTAGCTTGCGAGGCAATATATCCGTATAAGTATAAAATTATATTAGTCTAAGTAGGTCTAGTAGCACAATCGAGAGAATCGCACGAAGCTCTTGCTCGATGTGAAGAAAAGACTACATCATGGAAGTAAAGGAATATCAAGTATAGGATAAAAAATGGCAAGGGAGCGTGAATTATTTCTGGTGGATAGATATAAGATATAAGGGCAGCTCAGATGCATAATGAGATCGAGGTCTCCTGGCGTTGTCAACCTTTACGCGGCCCGTCCTCCTGATGTTCCCGAGCCTGCACTGGTGTTAGTTTGTCCTCCGGTTTTGGTTCCGTCAGGCTGCTTAATCGGTCCATTTCCAGTTGTCGTAGAGGCTCCACTAGTATGAGTCGGGGGTCCACGAGGAACATATCTATGAAATATTCGATGAGATATCTCGCCAGTGCGGAACTCACGTACCCTTGTCCTGACATCGACAGACTGGCCAGCATTCAATATGAGGAAGAACGAAAAAGCAAGCAATCCACGAACCTGGATGAACCTCCGCTGTGAAAGAGACCGTGAGCACCGATGGGTAGATGGCAAATGAGACGACGCGTACCGTACGGACGTAGAAATGGCTCGGAGGTGCTGGAAAATGCTGAATTGCATGTTTGCAGTGGTTCGGCGGGTGGTGTGAATAGAGAAGTAGTAGTGTAGTGAAGAAATACGCACCTCATACGCCACCTTTTATACTATTAGCATACACTGATGCATATTCTATCCTTGGCATGGTACAAGTCGGCTGTCATCGCACCGACGTTTCAGTATACGTCAGAATTCCCGGAAATCAAAGAGCAGCGCATTGTAATTCGCTAGCACGTGTAGCATGTATCGTCGTTGATGGCACCGAAATCAAAAGTTAAGCTGCCGATCCACCGTTTCGCGTATCATGTCCCTAGGAAGGAGCGGGTTATATGCACCAGAGTATGGAGGTAGCCGGTACAGGGGAAAACTTGACACAGGGATCCTGGTATGCGATGATGAACGAGAGCGGGATCCGGAATGCTTTACCAAGGCGACATTGCAACATTACTTTTGGATCATGCCTATTCCATCAGCGCGTGTCGGCTAGTTCGTTGGATGGAGGATATTCCTCAGGAGTGAGGACACAGCCGATGAGGCGGGTAGAGGAACTGTAGGGATTGACGGGATGAACCCTTATCAGCGTGTGCCTATTGCAATGATAGACGTATTAGTCTCTGTACATGATTTTCAGTTAGATCGCCGTACTGAGTGCCTGGCGCGTCTTTGGCTCAATTCTTCAGCGCTCAGCAGTCGATGCCGAGGTTCAGCATTCGTCCTTTCAGCAGGAATAGTTGAGAATGACGGGGCCTTGATTGCCTCTGGGCATGGCATCTTAACGGAGTCACACGGTATTGACATCAACAAAACCTTCGGTATGGCGCATTGATTTAGTATTCGTACGAGAAATGGTTTCGGGCTGGCCGCCGTATTTGTTTTGAGCCTATTAAGCTTATTAGCATTACACCTCCACACACCCAAAACGATACTAACCATTGTTGAAGATACCCGGTAGTCGGAAAACCCGTGCGCAGAAGAGATCATGGTCCCGGCGTCCGCAAAAAATTAATGTTTAGTCATCCTCGAGCATGAAAAGACTCGACTCGCGATGCGCCGAAAGAGGTCTGAATGACGGAGCAAACTGATAAGGGGGGCAAGCCATTTTCGGACGACGACCAGCATCATGATAAGTAAATAGAGCATGGCAGAGTCACTCAGTCGAAAATTTGGGTAGTGCTGATGTGCACTGTAGCACATAAGTTGTGATGAGAAAGACCAATTTGACGTAGGAACTTACCAGTCCACCATAGCTAAACTGCGGAATCATCCCATCCCTTATCTCTGGTCACCAAGGATAGGACGAAGTCTGTTCCTTACATCAGAGTCGCGGAGCTGTAGAGGGAAACGAGTTTTTGTAACGGCATTACATGCACCCAATACGCGCATCCCACTCTGAGCGCACCGGCGATAAAAGAGACCGTCAGCCTCATACGCACAAGATAGACGTCTAGTCCAAGAATCAGGATGATGATCGAGGAATACACCGAAGCGATCTCTCTCGCCCTTGCACCGGGACCGAAGACGGAAGGAAGAAATGCAAACGAAAACCGACCGAGATGCCGCCCTCATGGGTAATGCTTCAGTTCAAGTTGCCTCCGATGATAAGATGATCGTATTTGCATCATGCCGAAGGCGCTGCACGATCATGAGGGAGGACAAGGCCTCCAGTTTTCGTCTGGTAGGGCTGGACGTGTCATTGTCGTCCTACTTGTATTCGAAAAAGCCGTTCGACCTGGCATGTATGTGGTGATGCTTCGTGCCTCGACTGGATGTGTTGCGAGGTAACAACCTCATAAGTGTGAATTGTGGTATCTGAGACGTTCGTCACATACCGTAGATGGACAAACCGTCTTCGTTTGCATATCCTTTCTTCATACCCTTCCACTCCCTTCCTCCGACCGGTGAGCATTCTTCAGTAATACGGCCGTACGGGTTTGAAATGTGAAAGTGATCATGACGCTAAGCTTGGCACACAAAACCGGAACAAAGACAATCTTGCGAGGAAGGCAAAAAAGCGGAAGAAAGACCCTGCTGAGCCACGAGCCATGAGCTGAAATAACACCCCCATCAGTCAACCAAAAAGACAGGACAGTGACTTTCTTCCGTCTGATGCAGTGGCAGAAAAGGGAAGAAAGGAAGTCCGCCCATAATAGTTGGCTGCCGCCGAATCCATCTGATCAGGAAGACAGTCATGCTTTTTCTGTGCGTGAGGCTCTAGAGAGTCGGATAATCGTCCTAGGCAACAGAAAATGGTGCAATGTTCATTGCGGCTTTCGAGTGAGATATGGGCCTGGAACCAGGAGGTTCAAGTTTGTGGACTAGTTATAGAGATAGATTCGTAAGCGTCGCAAGCAAGAAACGTCGGACCGGGAAATTGAATTTGGAAGAGCTCGAAACGGCAGTCACACGCACCACCTGACGGTGCATCTGCTCCAAAGTTCGAACCCCCATGAACGCTATCAGTATATACGGAAACATAATTTTCAAGTTAATGGTGGGCATTCCATTGAACATTCCCGTTTAAAAATCGTTCAAGTTGCTAGTGGAAAAAAATTTCAGGAAAATAGCGGGAATCTCTGAGTAGGGATCGAATCCGGTGCGTAATCGTAACACTGTTGCCGTAAGACTACGACCAGGCAATCATATCCAAAATACGAGGGAAAAAAGGCAATTCATCTGATAATGAGAGCCCATCACACATACCCCTGCTGTTAGATTCCTCGCCGTAATACGCTGGCAGGCCGCAGAATCTCAAACTCACATTGCACAAATTCAAAGCAAGGGCCAAAAACGCCAACATCGACTAGTGAGCGCACGAGATAACCATTAGGCTATCACGGGCGATAATCTGCAATATGTTATGGTATTACTAACCACAGAGTCAATCGCGTCTTTTCTCAGGTGGTGGAATTCCATCAAGGCAGACTTTGGGTATGATTATGTGACCTCGATCACTCGACTGCAGAACAAAACAGTTATCTTTGGCAACAACTCCATTGATGGGATTCGAACCCACATTCAGGACTGTGTACTGTATTAACCACCAGGGGTGACCGTTTATCAATGATACGTACCATGATTCCATTAATCCGGACTCATAATCTGCGACTCTGATAATGCCGCTCGAATTACGAAATTAAGATATGCTGAGATATGTCCTAGAGACGAAACTCAACCCTCGAAATGACAGACATTGGATTTAGACAACTAACGACAAAATTAGAACTCATTCATACAATAAGATCGCAATAAATTCATACCAAACAGCG